TCAAGTGCGATAATTGCACACATTCCTCCCGGAGAACCTCCAATTTTGTGGACGTGACCATTCTCACGACAAAACGCATAAAATGACAGCTTTCCAGAAGATTTAAACATGTCCATGACCTTTCAGGCCGCTTCAAAACTGTCTTTGCGTAGGCGTACTCGGGTGCCACGAATCAGGCCATCGATGACCATTGGGTTCATCTCTCCACTGTACTTTATACCAATAAGTACCATTTACAGTCTTCCTGTCGATGATTGCATAGACATAACCTTCATCGGATTCATCGGTGTAGACTTCATCATACGCACTGTTGTTATCAAGCCCAGTAACAATCTCACGCGAATAGGAAATAGGAGGTGGTGAACTAGTCTTCACCGCTCCAGACTGAACTTCAGAGAATTCGTCACTATCACCACCACACCGTAGCTGGATATCGTGAAATTCGGAGTGTACTGATTTGAAACCCGCTCTTCTCAAATCTGCCATATCCAGGTTTTCCTGAATTTGAGTGACTCGTTGCAGTAGTGATAGTACGATACGTATTCTTCGCACTTGAGTGTTTTTGCGTCACGCTAACCCCACGCACCATCATCTTCAGCCTCTGTGTCCGTGTCCATCCTATCGTTCCTCTGCGACTCGCATTGGTCAAGTTAAGGAGGGCACGGACACAGAGGCGAGAAGAAAACGGCCGCCGGTGGCGGTTTAAAGGCAAGTCGGCAGTTGATCGACTGGAAAAACGAGTCGGACGCCTATCCAACATTGAGCTGCTGCGTGCGTTTACTTGGCTTAGACACATTTCTGGTTTAACGCTTGAGTACTTGCAGTTGCGCCACTTTATTAATGAATATTTTGGGGCGAAGAAAAAACTACGGTATGAAGTAAACCGACCTGAGAACAAATCCATCAGCCTTAGACTTATACTTTACTGCTGTTACAAAATAGCAACGTACTTCGAAGAAATGAGCATTCTCTCTAGGAAGGTCACCAGGATAAAGAAGGAACAACTCATTAAATAACTTTCCGTCCACTAGGGCGCTACCAGTGGACTGATAGCCGTTTCAGCGCTTCAGTCCAATGGTATTCGTTAATCTTTACCCTCCGTGCAGAATTCAAAGAAGGAATACTGCAGATTAGCATAATTGTTCAGGTTGTCAGCAGAAGTTGGACCAACAGGCTAGTGCCAACGCTTTCTCTGATGGCAGCAGTGTGCTGGTCGACTGATAGGCGCTTTAGCACTATGAGTACAATTTATACTGTATGCTGTACAGTTGTACCCGTCCATCAGTGCCCACCCATCCTGCAGATTCTGCAAGTGCAGAATGAACTCTGCCGCTCAGCATAATTATTCACCAAAGAAACCACTTTCAAAGGAAATAATTGACAAAAAACGAGTTTGAAAATTACATGTTAACCTATACCTTATGTACTTTGTCCGAGTGTCTGTAGTTTCCCAACTTCTGTATGTAGGTTTAACCTTTTCTCGGCTCAAACTATGGACTACCCATGATTACCAGGGCATTTGCATCGCTATACACGTCAAAACAGATATCCGACTGGTAACTACTTCGTCCATTTAAAACAATACCGTATAACACTTCTTGCATTCGACAACTTCTTAAACTCGACATCCAAAAGTCAGCCTATCACACTAGAAAATCGATCGACAAGCCATTGTGATTGGGGTTCTTGTAACTGATACTCTTTAACACATATCAGGTACCGGGAGGAAGAAGTATTATACGATGAACAGGGCATCTGTTTAAACACAAAATCAAGTCATTAGTAAATATCGTTGCTCTTCGACTAAGTGCGTCTATATAAATGCGCCATCGTTGGTGCCCGCTTCAGAGGAAGAGTAGGCTGCATTAAGCGCTCCATGTAGACCGTTCGACAGAGGTTCGATTTTTTTTTTTTTACATCTCTATACGAGTTTTTAACGGACCCCCGTGCAAAGCAAACATAAATTCAAAATACTTTTCGCAAACGTAAACGCTGTATCACAATATCTGAAGGGGTCAACGAAATTCGAACAGAAAATATCTCTGTCATCTTGAGAGTCAATCAGCGGCGTGTCTTATATGCACAGTGTTGCAGCGTGTTGCCTTTTGCCGATTCTTATTGATCAAATATGTAACGGAACGAAGCTATATCACGCAGTTAAATTCGAATTACGTGTGTTGCTCCACTGCAACCCATCTTACTGTTACCATCACGATTCATGGACACCATTACTACCTCTACTACTACTATTACTACTACTACCACTGATACAGTTACAGAAATACTAATGCTGATACTACTATTAATACTAATATCGCTACTACTACTTCTAATTTACTGTGGTCCACCCTATCTATATAGGCACTGAGACACGCATAAAAGATCTCGATCTTGCGTCGGTTTCCCTTTCGACGTGTCGACAACACCAAACATCTTCAGCTCACTATGCAGTGCACGAAGCCACCTCCATTTTCACCTTATCCTCGCATGTATGGAACTTTGGTAGGATAACATGCTTTCAGTAACACTCGACAACAGGGAAGACAGTTCGCTGAGATTTTCGTAGTTTCTATCTACCAATATTAAGTACTGGACAGCTAGGTCCGTGGCGCGATGGAACGGCTGGCAAACACGGCGTTGGTCGAGGCGCGAGGGGAGGAGGCCAACAAAACTCTGCGGCCTCTCGTTCCCCTGCATCCTCCGCCGCGTCTACATCTCCTTCGACCTTCCTCTTTCACCAAGTGGACACCAGCCTAGCTAGCTCGCCTAAGGCGGGGAACTTACTCCACGTCCTGCACGTTCATGTCGCCCTGGTTGGCATCGGCGTTGTCGGGCTCCTGGTCCGACGTCCAGAGCGTCAGGTTGTCACGCAGCAGCTGCATGATCAGCGTGCTGTCCTTGTAGCTCTCCTCAGACAGAGTGTCCAGCTCAGCGATAGCGTCGTCGAAAGCCTGCTTGGCCAGGTTGCAAGCGCGGTCGGGCGAGTTCAGGATCTCGTAGTAAAAGACCGAGAAGTTAAGAGCCAGACCCAGACGAATGGGGTGCGTGGGGGGCAGCTCGGCCATGGCGATGGTTGAGGCCTGCTTGTAGCTCTCCAGAGCCTTGTCCGACGACTCCTTGCGCTCATCGTCCACCTGGAACTCGGCCAGGTAACGGTGGTAGTCGCCCTTCATCTTGTAGTAGAAGACCTTGCCCTCCTCGCTGGACGAGTTGGGGATCAGGTTGTTCTCGATGATCGTCAGGATGTCGTTACAGATGTCCACGAGCTCGCCCTCGATCTTCTGACGGTACGCCTTGATGTGCTCGCTGCGCTCCGAGTCGCCCTTGTTCTCGATGGACGAGATCACACGCCACGAGGCACGACGAGAGCCGATCACGTTCTTGTAGGCGACGGACAGGAGGTTACGCTCCTCGACAGTGAGCTCCACGTTGTGGTTGTTGGCCACGGCCTTCATGTGGTCGACCATCTCGTCGTAACGCTCGGCCTGCTCGGCCAGCTTGGCGAGGAACACAAGGGAGTCGCGGTCCATGGTAGGAATAAAGAGAGAGAAAAAGCTGACGCTTGAGCTTGAGCTTGGAAATCGGATTCTGGCGTAGCAAAAGGGGGGTGCGAGCCGGCCGTGTAAGGAGGAATCGAAGGGGTGAATGGACAAGGAAGAATAGTCAAAATAAGTCTACCACAGAGTGATGTTCATCACGACATCGCACGCGAAATTTGGCAGAAATCGCCGCAGCTGCAACGCCCGTCGCACTTAGTTGGGAACAGCAGATTTTCGGCCAATTGGCGCGCGTCGTGGAGTTGCGGTCTGCAACCCCACGGCACGTCGAGCGACACCAGGCACGCAACAAAGGCAGCACCAGGACCGTCCCCAGCCAGCAGAGAACAGGAATAACGGCTACGATAAGGCTGCGGGCTCGGTGAGCTCGATACCGTCCTGTTCACTCAGAATATCGGCGTAACGACCCCAGCTTTAGATCCGATATACCAGATATTCCATTGGTCAAAAAGAACATTTAATCGACCAATAGCAACGTACCACGAGCGCTTAAACGGCACCACACCGAGAGCTCGTCACTGTATTCGCTCAACTTCACGACGGTCGGTCGAGGTGCACGTCGTTCACGCCATTTAGAGCTCTATTGCGCACATCCTGCTATAGTGTCGGTATGCCATACGCGGCAGAATTCCAGGCCTCTCAGCTGCGAGCGTTCTGCGTGAAGGATGAGACGATTCGCAGCTGGCAGGTGTGTTTACCAGTGACGTCCGAGGTTGAATGAAAAGCTCTCTAAGCTTAGTTGCAAGCGCGGCTGAGCTGCAGTGGATATGGCTCGTCGGCAGAGCAGCTCTGTAAGCCATTGGCTCGGAAGAAGTACCAGCAGAACTCCATTTGGAATGAGATTTACAGGCAACTTCACTTCAACAAGATGGGCAAACGATCTCCTCGCAACTGCCAGCATTTTGGCCATTTGAGTTGCGTCGTCTCAAATTATTATAGTTGCTGTTGCCAGTCGAATTCTGGCTCTGCGTTGCTGCACTACACCCCATGCAGTCGAACGACTGAGCTCTTAGTGACCACCATACTGTCTTGAGCGGCACTGGTGCCAGCCGCTCCGCATTTCAGCAGTCTGGCCCACGAACACTCGCGAGTAGACAGTACCATACCGTGGTGCTTGGCCTCATCAAATTCTGAAACTTATTATATACAGAAGTTGTTAACAAATGGAAATAAAACCCAGATCATAATCATTGATTGATAAAGTTAGCACAGTGCATTCAACTATGCAGGTTGTTGTTCGCGGTGCTGTGCCCTTCCATCGCTAAACGTCAGTGCCAGCAAGGACAGCAGCACTCTCCTACATACAACAGGTGAGGAGCTACAGCAGCAGCAATGGGGGCGGCGTTATCCATGCAGAAGTTCCTGGCCACGCCGTTGGCGGCGCAGTGGAAGTTCCCATTCGTGGTGAACCCGCGCTTCTGCCGACGCCGCGTCACGACACTCGAACTGACGGACAATTTCTGGACGCACACCACGGACATCAACGGCTACGCAGTGCGTGAGGCCGAGTCGGGTCGCGTCCTGTTCCGCGTCATGCCCACAATTGAGGGTGAACTGTCAGATGGGCGCACCAAGTGGTTAGTGGACGAGTACGGCATCCCCGTGGCCCATTTGACGCACAGAGAACACCCCACAATAGCGGCCTACGACGTGTGTCTGGGCAAGCGGCGGGCGCCTCAACCGAAGGTGCTAACAACGTTTAAGATCAAGTTTGTACCTGGAAGAGGAGAGCCGCTGCTTGCTGAAGTGGATGACCCACACACAGGAGGCAAAAGTCGGATTGGATGCCACGGAATGTGGCGACAACGAGCCGCAGTGCTGTATCTGGAGCGGGGACGCGGAGGTCGTCGGGAACCTATCGCCAAAGTCTATCGCCCTGCTAGCAACAGGATGACAAGCTTTGGAGGCAATTCTTATCACGTGGAGACGGCAATTGGAGTGGATATGGCGCTGGTACTTCTGGTCTGTGCAGCTATGGACGACGCCAGTTTGCATTTCCACAAGGCACACAGAAATCCACTACTCGGCACATCAGGAATTCAGTGAGTACAACCCCTACCAAGCTGCAGCAAGGAACGCAGTATTCAAGGCGCGTAAATAATATAAAATTTGTTGTGAGTTTATTATTTTTTAGATGTTCGACCCCTTTCCAATGAGGGTCAAATGCCAAGTTTTTAGTCGCCCAATATGGTCATTGCCAAGTCGTCGTCGTCGAGGCATTGGCTGCTCCATTTCAAGTGCGAAAAGGGCAGCGCGGAGCTGTCAAAAGTGTCCAAGTCGAAGTCCTCACCTTGTTCCATGGCTTCAAACGCTGCTATCGTCAGAGGGCTCGTCTCTTCAGCACGTTGGAGACAGCGACCACAGAAGGCAAGCTTGGCGCGGGTAACTTTGCGACGAAATGGCAGAGCGAAGCGCATTTGGCGGTAAGTCGTGCAGCTTGTACAAACACGTTCGTCACAGGCGCTACACTGGCGCTCAGCACGATGCGGCCAACGTCCAAAGGAGCGGAAACACTCAGCGCAACAGCCACCAGCTCTTGGATTGGCGAGTGTCGGCTGACTGGAACTCAGGAGCCACGCGAGTTTCTTGCGTTCAGCACAGCGTACAAGACGATGCAGACTGTGCATCTTGGCTAAAGCGCCGCCAAGCAACACACCGTCACGAGAAGTCGAACCTAACATGAACACCTCCATCACGTCGGGGGATGGCTGTCGATATACGTAGCAGTACGAGATAACAGCTTGCCGTCTGCCGTTCTTACTAAAGCCACCGAACCCCGGCACCTCCACCGATTGCAGCAATTCATATCCGACTCGTTCTCCATTACCGAGCTCTGTGATACCTGTGGACTCAATGTACAAAGTCTCAATCGCACGCGAGCTGAAGAACTGCCCTGTTGCCACTTTAGCTGCTGTAGTTCCGCTGCGTAGCCCACGCCATTTCAAAGTACACGAACGTAGTGGGTTGTCGTAGCTGGGTGATTCCAGCGGCGCTAACAGTTTCTCGTCCACGACACCGTCAGCTATGTACGACGCGCGTAGTCTAGTGGCATCTTCGGTTGAGCTTTGTAGTCCAAGCATGACGGATTCCAAGTCACCAGGGAACCTACCGATCATTAACGTAGCAGGTAGCAATCTGGTAGTGTCGTCTTCATAGTCGTTATCTGCCAACCGCGAGCCAAGTTTGCGTTTGCTACCGAGTCTCCAGCGAGCTCGACGCTCCTTGTACATTGCGAGGTCGCGGACATGTGCTACTCGTTTCCATCGGGTGGCGTCGATTGCCGACGGATGGCGTGAACAGCCGACGTAGTGCCTTGACATGTGCACGGCTTCTTGAACGAACGAGTCGCTCATACTCAGAAGGGCTGAGGTCTCTTCAGACGATAGAGCTTCCGGTTGGTCGTGTATCCCTTCGTGCTTCATAGTACTCAGATTGTCGTGGTGCTGCGTCCAACAGTGTAAATGAACGAATGGGGTAGAATGCACGACTAATATGCTCGGTCTCGACGCTGGAAACTGAGCGGAGAATGGGTTGTGGCCATATTACTGCTTCGTTCCAGTGCGTGGCGGGTGGCAGATGGCATCTTCGGATTCCTCTTTCCACCCACTCGACGAGGTTGGTACCTTCAATGGCAACAAGTTTTGTCGGTGGTGGTATGCGAAATGGCTTGGACAGCCTCAAGGGGTTCAGATGGTCCCAGTTGGAAATCGGCATGTCAACCCAGCGATACGGACATCCTAAACGATACAGTCCCCATGAGTACGGATAAAATCCTTCGAAAGGCAAGGTGGACATCTCAGTCCACCGTTTATGGCGTTTTTCGCTAGCCCACCTCACGCCTGCCACGGAAAATGCCCTAAGAGACCTCAAGCCCGTGCTACTGTCGTAGCTGACCCCATCAGCGCGAGTGGTTAACCTTGCAGGTCAAGACCATGCGGTGCCACCTGAACCATTCAAAGGTCCAGGCAAATGATAAAATCCACGCGTACTTGATCCCATGTAACAACAACTCCGTGGAACACATTGCAAGCCGCCAATACAACCAGCAGGACAGTGACATCGAACATGTGTGGAGTTAAATCTGAGTGCTTGACGGCCAATTAAACACAAGAACGATCAGTTTCGAAAAGAGCTTTGAAGCTGCGGCGAAGTTCGAATGATCGAAAGCAAATGATCTGAAGCGAAACGAGAACCCATCAGCGCCAGCCAAACCTGATCTCTTCAGGTCTACAAAAACCAAAAAAGTGAAAAACTCTGTGCGACGAGTCTCAGAAAAACATGCCTCCTTCAAAAAATATTTTTGGCAAAAAAATGTTTTTAGACCACTGGAAACAAATATTCTTATTTAGTTTGCTTTACTTCCTTTCTATAAAATGCAGTACCCAAAACTTCAAAATATACCCCACGCAATTGGAAATCCCAATTGCGTGGGGTATATTTTGAAGTTTTGGGTACTGCATTTTATTAATTTTTTATTT